AACAGGGATCTGAGGGCCAAAAAGGCACAGCTACACAATGACAAATCCTATCATAAGACTGATGAGAGAAAGAGGGGAACAAAATCCACAGAGACTTATGAATGAAGACGTTTCTAAAGGAAACGAGCTCTCCTTGGTGATTTCTCCACCAATGAGGCAGATAAGGAAAACCTGGGCATTTTTCGTGTGCCATATATTTAAAATGAGGATGCACACATAAATGACTGTGGGAAGGAAGGAGTGATTTGAAGGTTGAATCCAGATACTTCGCAGAAAGAATCCATCAGCTCAGTAATTTCAGCTTAGCTTAAAAACAACAACAAAAAACTGAGAGCTGGTTTGGTTATGTCACCTAAACCTCTTCAGGAGGAGGAAATTCTGGGTCCTAAGGCCCATAATGAATAGTGAGAGCAATCACACAGACAAACCACCAAGGGAAGTGGTGAAAATTCATGCTGCCTGATTTCTTCAAGATGGGATCCTTTCCTGGAAGACATTCTAAATTCACATGGCAAGATGCAACTCGCAGGTAGAAGAAAGATATGTAAGGACTGTATTGAGCAGGTGAGACAGGAATGATGTAATGTCCTTCCTTGGTCATAAACTAGATGAATGGGGAAACCTGGGGAAGTTGGCAGGAATACATTCCTCCAGTCTACTCCCACTCATTCTTGGTTTAATAAAACCATCTCTCTAATTTTCTGTGACAGCAGTTCTTTCAGGGGCAGACATTGCCCAAATGATAAAGAAAATCCTCCAACATCACCCCAACATGCAAAGACCGTCACCCCAAAAAAATCAGTGTGACATCTCAGACGAGATCCAACGAGCCCAACTGAGATACAAAATTATTCCTCTTTCTACAGAGAAAAGAGAACAGAAATCAGAGCAAAGCAAATGATGATGAGATACCTCAGCATGGTTTTGGCCAATGTATCCAAAACAAAACATCTCTATTATTTTATGGGTAAAACGGTGGTTGTTTCAGACACTTGCAACTTTGAAGACTGGCTTCTCGCTCCCATATAAATTAGTTTGGGTCTTGTCTCTGGCTGCTTTAGCATCACGAGCATCAGAAGATTTGCATTGCTGTGGGAGCCATTGAAGACTAAGGGGATTTTTGAGGGGGGGAGGATACAAAGCCAAAAGGTGGCAGTTCCCTGCAACCTTCAGACCAAAACTGGGCTAGAATAAGTCATATTTACTGACTGCAACTGAGATACAAGTGAGTGCAACACCACCGTGGAGAAGTGTCATCCATAAAATGAGCAATGAATCATCAGTGCTAGACCCAGAAACCAATTTCAATGCTATTTTCTATCTTCTCATCAGCCCACCAAATTATTTTCTCTTACATCATTGTTACTCTATGAAAAAAAAAGTTTTTAGGGACTTACTTCACTTGGGTTGAAATTCCCATAACTTCTATCTTGCATATAATGATCTGAAATCCTTATCATGGGATCAGAAATGTTAGAAAAGACCTCTAAGATCATCTAGTCCAACAGTCAACCCTTAATGAGGCATGACTTCTTTCTTGCTTATTGCATAGGGATGATTCCCATCAAGCAACAAGACCAGATGAACAAGTCTTGAAGATGGATTTATGGTACCCCATGAAGAAAGGAAGTTAATATCAGCTCCCAATCATTCTGGACTAATTCCTTGAGACCAGGTTGCTTTCCTTTCTGCTGTGCTGCCTGTCTTCAGAAGTGCTGATGAAAACTACTTGCAAGTTCTTCTGCATCAGCTTGAAACATACTGCTCTGATATTTTGTACATTTTAACTAGAAATGTATGTGATGAAAGCAAACACATTGTCAATGGATTCATATAAATAAAAAGCTCATAGAACAGCCTTAAAAGAGGCTTAAAAATACTTTCCCATCCTTCCCAATTTTATTTATTTATTTATTTATTTTTTAGCTTGAAAGTAGAAACAAACCCCATTTTGTGTTTCACTTGTGGGTTCAGGATCACAACATCTGAATCTCATTCTATCGACTTGGAGAGTCAGTTGTCACCAGAGAGGGATGTCAACACACTTCAGACATGAGAAGGCTTGATCCAAATTCTGCCAGGATGTCACCACTTATGGTGGCTTTGCCTCATTTAGGACATGCTCCATCCCCTTCAGATGAGTACATGCAGGAGGGGGGAACATTCCATGGGACAGGGAATTCATTTTCTGAGCAAGCTGATTGAGTTAATTTACTTGGTCCCAAGATTTGCCCACCACCAGGCCCCTCCACAGTTCCATTGAGTGTATCCACTCAGCGATTAGCATCCAGCAGAGGAAATGTTCTGCTTTATTAATAGATGCAATAATGTCTGTCTTAATGAGACTCCTGTAAAAGCAATTCTAGTACTCAAGGGATTCTGGTTTTAAATAAACTTCTGTAGAAGAAGCTGGCGGGCTCAGACTAGCCAGGGACAGGGTTGCTGCTGCCATAGTGTTCCATTTTTCCTCTATTTTGGTTGGATTTCAGAGGAACTCGGTGTACACAATCTGTGAGAGACGTGTTGGACTCTGCTTCTCAGCATTTCCACTTTTTTTTTGCAGAACAAGACGACGACAATGACTACATCCTGAAGTTGAATTGTCTTGGCTTTACACATCCCCATGCTCAGCCCCAAAACATGATGGGAGACCAGGCTGCCACAACACCCACCTTAGAGCACGAGGCCAGGCTCTGCAATTTGGTGATCTGGAGCTCAGCCTTTGAAGTTAGGCAGGGTCAACCAGCAGCACTGCTGGTCATCACCTTAGAATCAATGAGGTGGGAAAAAACCACTAAGTACTTTTCCACCAATCATCACCATGCCCACTAAGCCTTGTTGGCCATCACCACTCCCTCACCTTCCTATCCTATATCCATCCTTTCCTAAAACGCTTTGCAGGCCACAACGCCAAGAAACCTTTGCAAGGGCTCCAATGGAAAACAAATCCAACTGAAGGAGCCAACAGATGGAGAGCATCTTCATTGGTGACCACAAAGTAACTCTGGTATTCCAGGAGGCCAAGACCACCATAGCCAACACACAGCCTCAACCTGAGGGTCAGCCAGGGAAAAAAAAAAAAAAAAGGTCCAACATAGAACCATAAAGATTTGAAAAGACTTTTAAGATCACATAGTCCAACCATCAGCCCACCATTAATCCACACCTGATCTGTTTCTTTCAGCCTTTCTTTTGACATACAGCCATACACAGCATTGGGTATACATCAAGATGGAGTGCTATAGTTGCTCTTACATTTCATGAGCACCCAAAAAGAACATCTGTGGCTGCTTGGGTTTGCTCAATACAGCCGACCACCACCATCACACAAAAGCACATCCAAAAAACAACATTTCCCTACAGAGCAAAATGAATCCGTGTAGTCATAATTAGACAAATATTGTTAAAGGAAAAGCTATATGCGAATGTAGACTAAACATAGCCCTTATGCCAGATAAAACTGTGTTCATTACACTGAAAGAGGAACTGTTCATGCCATAACAAATGGTCAAACATGATACTTCAGAACAAATATACATATGTACTCCATCTATATTTATAATGCTGAAAAAGCATATAAAAGCCCGATCCAGCTTCCAACGCAGTCACAAGAAAGACAAGCACTGACTTTACTGAGTGTTGGAGGAGGACATGAAACAGTAACATGACCTGGAGGATGCAGGTAAGGTCAGCTGGATGCTGGTCTTGAACCATTAAAAAGAAATATTCTTAGTGTGAGTGAACTGACTGTTCAAGCTGTTTCCTGAAACATTTGGTTTTTTGCAGTCCATACTCCCCAGCGTTAGTAAGACATTCAGGAGCACGTTCAACCTTAATTTAATTTCATAGATTCATAGAATCGTTAAAGTTGGGAAAAGACCACTAAGATAGTTGGAGGTGTTCAAGGCCAGATTGGATGGGAGCTTGGGCAGCCTGGTCTGGTATTAAATGTGGAGGTTGGTGGCCCTGCCTACGGCAGGGAGGTTGGAACTTGATGATTCTTGGGGTCCCTCCCAACCCAAGCCATTCTATGAAGAAAATCCTGTCCAACCATCAACTCATCCCCACCATACCCACTGAACCAAGTCCCTTGTATCAACTTTCCAAAGTCACCATTGGGTAACTGAGAAAAGTCTACTCTGCAGGGGGAAATGGAGAGACAGCACCTTCAGCACATCTGGAGCAATGACCCATTGGTCAGTTTTGCATCTCTGACCTGTAGGTAGCCCTACAGGAAAACAGGCTCACAAACATTGGAAATCTGAGGGCAACCTCACTTCTTCCCTTCCCTGCTCTCGTATTCTTCCTGCACAAACTTTTATTGTTTGTATTTTATCAGATCAAAATTGCACATCAGCAGATTAATCAGCAGGCAGGAAGGTGCTGTAAATCAGAATTTGAACACAGTCACCTGTTGTGGAGCAAAGCTTTCATTGCCAGCTGGGATAAATTGAAAATCTCACCCATGTAAGAGAGGAAGGAGACCTTCAGAAAGAAATATTAGCCAGAAAGCAGTTTGCTGTTCATTCACTTTACACCCTCTTTGCTGTCACGGTCAATCATTTTAAAATGCAAAGATTGGGCATTTATAAGACAGCAAGGCTATCCAGGCACTATCATTTCCAATTGCAACATTTGGGGAGATGTAGTAGAATTTATGTTCAGGATTCTCAGCCCATTTCTGTTGGGATGCTGGCAGGGGGATAATGCACACAGCGTATTAACCTCTCTATTTCACCAGAAGTGCCTCAGACTGCTGTCTGAAGCCTTCAACACGTGAAGAGAAGCCAAATGAACCCCCAAGACATCGCCTTAAGAAGTTTAAACGTCAGCAAAGATCATAACTGTGAGCATCTACAATTACCTGTGAGAGAGATGCCAAGGAGCCACCCAAACCACCTGGATACCCATTGCTTCCACATATCTCTCCCAGTTATGAATATTGCTGAAGACTTATTCTAGTTACACTCCAAGACTTTATATTGCCATTTTTGACTCACCATCCCCTTGCAAGGATCCAGCCTGCTCCTCACTCCCGGATTGAAGCCAAGGGAAGCGTCCTCCTCCATTGCACACTGCAAGAAGTGCTTCTCTGAGGCTGTGATAAGATGAAAAAGAGGGGAAAAAATAAAAGGGAAGGGAAAAAAAAAAACCAAAAACAAACACACAAAAGAGAGGAGGGGAAAGGAAAAAAAGAGGGGAGGAGGAAGGAGAAAAGGGAGGAGGGGATCATAAAGATCACATAGTTTATAAATCGTAAAGTATATATATACATATATACCTTCACAGACCTTTTCTATGCTCAAACGCAGGCCTCAAAAGAGAACTTTATGAGAGCTCAGCTGAAGTTAAAGCACAGTGAGGAAGGAGAGATTGGTTCCTGGAGCAGAATGGGAGAACCAGGAGCACAGCTGAGCTGCATCAGCCCCTTAGAGTGCTGCAGCTCCTTCCTGAAGCCATAAAGAAAATAAATACAAAATGCTAATCATAATAAAGAAAGGAATAAATAAGTAGAAGCTAAGGGGAATTGGGGGAAGGAATCCGCAAAAGAAAAGGCTAGAAGGAGAACGACCTCCCCTGCTATTAAATAGGTGGAGGTGGGTGTTGTAACTGCGTGGTGGGGTTGGAAGGGAACAGTGGAGACACATCGCTCCCCTCCCCCCCATCCCCCTGCTCGGGGCGGAGGGCAGAAGGAGGTCAGGATGAGCACAAACCACCGGCTGAAGCAAAAGGGGCACAGGATGGAGCCACACAGTTACATTTTCCAGCCAGCTGCATAGGATTTCATTAATTCCTCCGGCTCTCTCGCCTTTCGAGATAAAGATGACCCATACAGAAGCTAATTGCTTTAATAATCACTTAACGACTCGCTAAGTGCTCCCAACCCACCCATCTCCACCCCGGGACAGGTGCAGCTCCCACTCCCACCAAGAGCTTTAGGTTTCACACCATAAGCAGAGCACTTGGTGCCAACACCGAACAGTTGCTAAAAGTTGACTCCAGGACACGCTGGGTTTGCTGAGGAGCTGATTCCTGGAGCAGGCAGTGGAATCTTTCAGACCTCTCCTCAAGTCTAGCCATCACTTTAGATCAGGCATCCCCATCATGCCTGCTAAATCATAGAGTCATTAAGGTTGGAAAAGACCTTTTAATATCCCCAAGCCTGACTCCAACCCATCCCACCATGCCCACTGACCACATCCCTCAGTGCAACATCTCCATGGTTCTGGAACACCCCCAGGCATGGGGACCCCACCGCTCTCTTGGCAGGCCTGTGCTTCAATATTCAACCTGAATAGATCCAAAAAGAATCATGGAATCGTTGAAGTTGGAAAATGCCACGAAGATCATCATGGAATCGTAAGAATCATGAAGGTTGGAAAAGACCTCCAAGGTCGTCCAGTCCAACTGTCCACCTGCCACCAATATTTCCCTGCTAAGCCATGTCTGTTAGTGTAATATCTACGTCTTTCTTGAACACAACAAGTCCAGCCATCAACCTATTGCCCATTAAACACTCGGTGCCACAAATAGGGTCCTCTCTCCTCTTTACCCAGCCTGTGTCTCTCACTGGGGAAGAGCAGAAGCTTTGGGCAGAAATGAGGTGTCCCAGAGCTCACCAAACCTTCAGGACTGCAGAGAACGAGCACCTGGGTGCTCTGACTGAGTCCTGTTGGGCTCTGAGCATCTCCAGGTATGGAGACTTCACATCTCTGGGCAACTCGGTTCAGCATGTGTCCTCTTCCCTAGGAAAAAAAAAAAGTATTTCTTATTTCAAAGGGGGAATTTCCTGTATTGAAATCCATGCCATGGAGGCTGACACACGTCTCCAGACTGGTGCAAAAAAAACCCATTTATGGGGTCCCAGGACGTGATGTCACCCATGGACCCCAAGGCAGCCACAAGCCCTTCGAGATGCAGACAAGAGGCTGGGAGGTTCAACTCTTTTTACGACAGGAGTCTACAAAACAGCCACGTGGATTATTTTTTTTATTTTATTTTTATTTTTTAAGATCACAAAATACACAACATTCATTTTAATATGCAACACATGATATTATATACATATTAAAAACCACATGACTGAAACACATGTTCACACGGCACCGATTTCATAAGGAAAAAAACCCCACAAGTGCTTTTTTTGTTTTCTTCTTTTAATATTAAAAACAACTGTGATAAAACATATTAATATTTTTCCAGACGATGTTTACAATAGAGAGGAAAAAAAAATCATATTTTACTAAATAACAAATATTTAACAACAAAACTTTATACTAAATATCTATTTTGAATTATAACAAAAATAGTACTTATAATAGTTTATAAAGACAGACAAAAAATAATAATAACTGTGTATAAAATAACATTATAGCGAATTGGAACTGTGCTAAGAAAAAAAAAAACACAACATAATTCTGAGATTCAAAGTGCTTTATTCTGCAAACCCACTGCAGCAACATCTTTTTTAGTCAAGTTATATTAGTTAGGAATGGCAAAACAAAAGCCTGGCTTACTGATGCCTAGATTAATTACACACACACATTATATATACACATGGTGTAAGCATATATATATAATGGATGTATGCATCTGACATTACCACTCTCCAGTCAACCACTCACTCAAAAGCATGTTTGGTTTTTCACTTTGTAACTGGAAGTTCAAATCACAGTTGAACCAAACCCTCCACTGGCCGCCCTTCACTGAGTCCATCCCAAATTCACCCCAGACATCTCACCCATGGGAGCATGGCATGAAGCTACCGCTGAACTTGAGGCTGAACCTCTGGCCCTTGTTGGCCGTCCCATCTCCATCTCTCCCATTTTTCCACCTCCTCTCTCCCCCAGCCACAGTTTCCCCCCCCTAGTATGTCTGGGGGACTCCTGGCTGTGGGTTCCTGGTGTGTTTTCATCCTGCATCCTCCACCTCCTGCCCCATCTCCATGCCCTACACGTGTTCATCATCAGCCAACACCATGGACCATGACCCTTGCATGCTGCAAACCTTTCTCTACACACTTGCCCACGGGAAACTCACCCATTCTCATTGCATTCAGGTTATGTTCTCCTTTGCTTCCTGTCGGGATTCTCATTGCAATTAAGCCCCTTTTATCTCTGGAAATGTTTTCTCTCCAATGCCTGAAGTCTCACTAGTGCCTAGCATTTCCCTTGGAGTTCCCATGTCAGCAAACTGGCTGATCCTCCACTCCAGGGACACAGTGCCCAGGTGGCACATAACACTCAGACCTCCCTCTTGGGTTTGGCACATTGCTTACCGACTAGAAGGCAAGACCCGGACCTCAATGGCATCCTTTAGAGGACTGGGAGCTTTACATGGGGTGAAATCCACCTTAAAATCAAGTCGTGCTCCCTGGTGTGAGTGGAGACCATCCATTGGGGTGCTCTTGGGGGTTTCTGGCAGCTTGGCTGACCCAACCTCAAGTGCTTCCCCCAGCTAAAACTCTGCCTCCCTGCTCCTCACCCCACCAGATGACGATGGCAGAGGCAGCCATCATCATTGCTCACCCACACATCCTTTGACCTTCCAACGAGGCACCCACTCATCAAGAGCACAACCTGCAAAGCAACCTGGTAAGCGACATCTGCCCCCTCATCCTTCCCATTTCAGCCCCTTCGACTTATCTGGACACCTTTAAAGCCAAAAGCCAAGCTGCCCACCCCAACATGAGATCTTTCCCCACCACCCCACAGTCCTCATCCTTACCTCATCCTCCATGGTAGGAGATGGGAGAGAGAAGAAGGCTGCTTGGATCTTCCCCGAGATGAAGGGCCTCCAATCCCAATGGGATCTCCCAACCTGATGCTCAGGTTGAACCAAACACCAGCCTTTGCTCTGCACCTGCATGTGAGGCCACGTCTGCTTTCAACACAACCCGCCTGTCTCATGCAACACATGGAAGCCTTTCTCATGCCAGTAAAATAAATCAAATCAAACCAAATAAACCCGCCCAGCATATGAAGCTCATGATACCTTGTGCTTCACATGCATTGGGCACAGCCCTTCTTTCCTTCCTGCAGAGCTCTCCCATCGCCAACCAAAACCCAGACACGAGACAAACGATGCGGACGGTGGCTTATTGATAGAGATCACCTTTAATGCAAAAATACCTCCGGTGGAAGAGGGTGCACCCAAACAGAACAGCTCAGTGCACACAGAGCTGCAGCAGATCGTGGAGGTGCCCACACCCTGAGGGAGAGCAAAGGCACCAAAATGCCCCCAAAGGGATGCCTCTGCGTGGGGAAGGGGGAGCGGTGCACACAGGATGTGTAGCAGCAGCAGGAAACTCGAGGAGAAAAAAAAAAAAGAAGCTCCCCCCACCCCAAACCACACTCATCTGAGGCTTTGGAGAGACGGCTCAGCCTCAGACGAGGCACCACAGGGTTTTTTGGTCCCTCGGCGGAGGCGAAAGGGCAGCGCTCCCCCAAACCTGCCCAAATGGGTGGGACGGGAACGGGCATCGCTCGTCTCCCCTTCGCCCAGGGCAGCCCCCAGAGCCCCGAAATAATAATAAAAAAAAAAACAAAAACAAATACAACCAAACAAACGAACGACAACAACAACAACAAAAATAAAACACTGTTATCACCAGCTAATTTAACACTGTTAAAAACAAGCTTGGCGGGCCACGCTGGGCCACCAGACCACTGGCTGCCAGCTGGTTCTCAAAGCCTTTCCCACCATCGGGGCTTTGCAGCGCTCTTCCTGGCAGCAGAAGTGTTTTATAGATATTTATATATATATATTTATAATATTTAGATACTGTGTATGGTCAGACAGTCCCAGTTCTACTCGGGATTCACAACTCTTCCTCTTTCTGGAGGAAGCGAGAGGCACGATGCCACCCCAAGCTCCTCCATGCCCGGAGCAGAAGGATTTTGGCAGCTTTGCCAGTGGAGGAAACAGTCCCAACCTGGAGGCTCTGCCAAGTGAGCGTCGTGGAGAAGCTCCTCATTCCTCTCCCCTCCTGTTCATCTCCCTGTCCCCACCCCACCCCTCCATCCCCAGCCGCCCATCCCTGGTGGGCTCTACACAGTGGCCCCCAACATGACGTCCGTCCCCGTCAGGATCTCGTTCTGGTTGGAATCCAGTCCGAAGAATTTAACCTTGAGTCCGTCGACTGGGTGGACCACGGGCACCAAGGTGATTTTGGGGAAAGTCCTGGTGGCCAGCTCGAAGCGGCTGGTGCTGGCCAGCTCGATGGCCAAGGCCTTGAGGAAGAGCTTGGCCAAGTGTTTGCCCAGACAGGTCCGTACACCCCCTCCAAAGGGGAGGTAGTGGAACCTGCCCTCCTTGTCCTCGCTGCGGCCCTGCCCGAAGCGGTCGGGGTCGAAGACATCCACATCCTTAAAGACAGGGGCGGTGTCATGGGTGTCCCGGATGCTGTACATCACGCTCCAGCCCTTGGGGATCTGGAAACCCTATGGAGGAAAGGGGAGAAGGGAAGAGAAGAGCAGAGAGGGTCAACAGGGAGTGGGAGCAGGAGGATAGCTTTAGAATTGTAGAACCATTCAGGATGGAAAATACCTCTATAATCACCAAGTCCAAGCCCAACCCATCTCCACTGTGCCCACTGACCACATCCCTCAGTGCCACATCTCCACAGT